TAAAATCACATATACATTCTTTTTAGTACTGTTCTTTTCCATAGCTTTATTTTTTGCCATTTCCACAATATATTATTCTAGATATTTGTATTTTTTAATTCTACTGCTTAGCCATAGTCATCGATTCATTTTGTTTTATTGTGTATATTTTGTTTTATATTTGTATATTTTTTAATGTTCTGCGAATAAAGGCAAATTTCATACTATCATGATTTCATACTTCTATTCATACTTTCTACTACTTTCATAATTTCTTATGTTGCCTTAATCCATGTTTTACCACATTCTGCCCCTAGCAGGAGGTCCCGATGCAGTCTTCGACGTTGGGCCCTCCTTATGATTACTAAACATGTGTTACATTCTTGTCATATTTGCAAGATGTTTCAGCGCACGAACAAAGGAAAAAGGACAGAGTAGACAGAAAGAGCGCTGACTTCCAACTCTGGAGGTCAGCGCTCTTTCTGTCTACCCTGTCCTTTTTCCTTTGTTCGCGCGCTGAAACAATCTTGCAAGTATGACTACGTACCAACTAGCCCAAGCTTACACTCTTGTGAGTTACATTCTTGTATTTGTATCTGTAAAAAATCTTGAATCTGAAGAATCTGAAACGAAATAATTTACGAATATTGAATGCATTCAGAAAACGGGCTAACCGTTAGTGAACGTGGTGGAGCCCTAATAGCAAAATTGAGAAACCACAGCATATCGACGAGGTGAAGGATGACAAGTGGAAAGAAGCGGACGGACGGATGGACGGATGCGCAGACGGACTGATGGACGCTTCACCCCCCTCCCCATCATTCACCCTATGGATATGCTGTGACACCGTTACTATTGACATGCAATGCATTGCAACTGTTTACTACGACTACGACGACTATACAAAGACGCGGAACATGCGACTCACGGCGTAAGGGGCTTCGGCCCTAAAATGAAACAGAATTTTCACCTCGATCAAAAATGCAGCCGCAACCACCAGGATTCGATCCCGCGACCTGCTGGTCAGCAGGCGAGAATCTTATCAAGCCATGAAAGCCTCAAATGCAACCAACTAAAAGCGCTAGTGGAGCTTTCGAAATTAATAGCGCAAGGTATACCCGACATCAGAGAGTATAACACGGAGAGGATCGATCAGGCTGTAAAAATCAACAGAAGCCTAAAAGCGACAGGAGCAAACTTGTGCATTATAGTTAGTTATACACTTAGGAACATTCGAGCCATGGTAACGTGTAAAAGGGAATCAATGTAGAAAAGCTGAACGCTACCGTGTACCAATTTTATTGCATTTTATTTTTGGTGCTGGCGGACATTCAACCCATCACAGTGGTGTGATGGTTATATTACTCAACTGCTGATTTGCAGGTCGCGGAATGGAAATTCGAGCACGGCGGCCGCATTTTTGAGGGAGGTGAAAATGAGCGAGACACGCGTTTACTTAGGCGCACGTAAAGAACACCAGCTGGTCCCGAATTAACCCTCAGCTACAACGTTTCTTTCTGTTAGTGACTGAATTCATTGCTGGGTCTCTTCTTCTGAAGGTATTGTTTTGGCTGAGTGTTGTATGCTTAATTATATCTTTAGTTTGATGCATTGTCAGGGCCACTTTGTGCTTTTAAACATCTTCCTTTTGTTACTACAAGTTTTATTAGCGTATACAACATGTTTCTTTCTTGAAATTGTGTTGTCAGTTTTTTTTTCTGTCATTTTCATGTAGTATACTTATGTTTGCAATACTCTATTGCATGAACTCTATACTCTATTGCAATACTCTATTGCATGAACTTTACGTATGCTCCTGTGTTCTATGCCACCACGTGCTCCCGCATGCACTGGTGGAGCAATGTATGGGTAAAAAGGCCTTTATAGCCACGCAGTTCTGCCTTTTTCCTTGTCATCCAAGACGAACTCTGTGTCTGAAATAAATCACTTTATAAATAAATAAATAAAGACTGCGTCGTGTTTTTGAGATGTTAAACTGCATCAATTATTATTGGCTACGCAACCACACACGTATCCACGAAATCGGCGCTATTCCCACTTGTTTTTCATGTTCGTCCACCGGCAGCACAAAGCGAAGCCCCAATGGATGTTTGAAACATCATCGCGGCCCCACCACGGTGGTCTAGTGGCTAAGGTACTCGGCTGCTGACCCGCAGCTCGTGGGTTCGAATCCCGGCTGCGGCGGCTCCGTTTCCGATGTAAGCGGAAATGTTGTAGGTCCGTGTGCTCAGATTTGGGTGCAGGTTAAAGAATCTCAGGTGGTCGAAATTTCCGAAGCCCTCCACTACGGCGTTTCTCATAATCATATGGTGGTTTTGGGACGTTAAACCCCACCAATCAATCAATCAAAAACATCTTCGAAATGATCGCGTTCAGTTGCGAAGACGATTCAACGTTCACCTTTTTGTTTCATCTCGTTTACACGTACGCAGTCGCTTCGGCGCTACATTCGGTGCACACGCGTTCTTCAAAATAGCTCTTTGGCGACAGCGATAAGCGACTCCACGTTTCTGCACTTTCAAGCGTCTTATCCACGGCAAAGATAAGCGCCCGTCTGGCTGGAGCATTCACGCCCACAACCCCTGAGATCAAGGTCCTGCTTCTGATACAATGCCGGGATCAGGTGCACCTGTCAGTTAGCGAAGGTGTGCATCCGAAGCATCACGTACTTCATAAAAGCACAGGACATTGCGCAAAAATAAATCATTTGAACTTTGCTTTTTTATAATATACACAGTCACAGTTAATCGGTTTGACTGCATTTTTTTGCCACAAAAGAAAGATTGATTGATTGATTGATTGATTGATTGATTGATTTTCGGGGTTTCACAAAAGAAAGAAATAATGCACTGTACAGACCTTGACATCCTCGATGTAGTGTTTTTTTTTTAATATTTTTAGCACACGCTGCTCCGGCTTGTGCACATAAATTTCACATCACCTTTTAGGTTCTCCTCTTTTTTTTATATAACACTGATCATGCTTACTTCAATCGTTTCTCAAGGCCAAATAAAATTAAAAGAAGCCTGCGTTTACGCCCTTTGGAAAAAGCGATGCTTCAAACAGCTTCGCGACTGCGTCACTTCAGGTGTCGGTAATGATTGATCGATATGTGGAGTTTAACGTCCCAAAACCACCATATGATTATGAGAGACGCCCTAATGAAGGGCTCCGGGTATTTCGACCACCTGGGGTTCTTTAACGTGCACCCAAATCTGAGCACATGGGCCTACAACATTTCCGCCTCCATCGTAAATGCAGCCGCCGCAGCCGGGATTCGAACCCACTACCTGCGGGTCAGAAGCCGAGTGCCTTAGCCACTAGACCACCGCGGCGGGGTCCAGGTGTCGGTAGTACGCGCGACGAGGTATGTAGCTTTTGTTTCTAGGTTCCAAATACACGCCGTAGAACTTTTGATTTCTCCAATTTTATGGGCCCAACGTGAAACAACAACGCTAAGTTTTACGGTGAGTTATTGAGACCACAGTGCAAAATCTTCCTTCAGGGCTGGATAAATAATGATAATGGTAAGTATTATTTTTTTGTTTTCCTAATCGGTAAGGGCGTCTGTATTATGCAAATGATTTGCAGCCTGCAGCTGTGTGGACCTCTTTTGCAGTGGCCTCCTATCGTACTGATCACCGTGACATCCTGAAAGAGTCATACCCATAGGATTACCCTAGACATACCTTATTGACCTAACTTAAGCACGAACAAGTTTGCCTTATAAATAATATTTTGATTGTATACGTTGTGACATTGATTAGAAAGTGATGAGCGGGACTTGAGACCCCATCAGAATTGTAGAAAATTCAACATCAATAAATTGCTCAACAAATTATGATGCTGTTTATTGTGGTAGTCGGTCTAGATGCGGAATAAAATGAACAGCCAGTATGGAGTTGATGCGTGCTTTTTTTTATAGTTACACCACACCAAAGAATACGAGTCAAAGCTCTAGTCATTTCTTTCTTCTTATGGTGTCGTCTCGCACCAAACAAGCACTATATAGTTCTTAGTGGTGTTGTATGAGCCGTTAAAGTACTAAACAAAATTTTCACGTCACCATTATACCAAAGAGAATCATCACAAAAAGTCAGCTTTTGGCAGATCTCGAGTTACTAGAAAGAATACGAAAGAGCAATGAATGGTCACAATGCTGGAAACATTGTGGCGTCATTAATAGGACAATGGGCTTTAGAACCACACCAAGCTGATCGCTGGTTCACTGCCCAGAACTACAACATGTCCAGAAAATATCCCTTCTTCCTATAAGAAGGGAACGTCTCCTGAAGTTATTTTCACGTAATTGCAGAAATAGTGGTTACTCAACAAGCAACATCAAAAACATGTAGCGCTAATGTTTTTCATTCAGTGTTCACTCTGAAGCCTCCAGGCACTTTTGTAAGAATTCTAAGTTTTGTTTCAATGGAACTGATTAGATCACCCGATCCCTTCCTCTGTTTTCTTTCTTTCTGGGCGTCAATCATACTAGAGTTACTGTATATGCTACCTTTAAGGAGCCTACACGACTACTAAGTCGTACTACCATCGTGATCTTAAAAACGGGAGCGATTTTAGATCTTCCGGACAGACCGCAGCAGAAATAAGGATTACAAACGTTTTCCACGTCACATATCCTACCACACGCGTGACGTTTCATTGTATACGCCTCTCGTTTCAAAACGGCGCGTTTGTAACGCTCAAGTGCGCTGCTTCGCCGCGAGTCTCCGGTAAACTCCTGCGCAGAGAAGCGTGGCCTTCGAGGTTGTTCAACGCACGTGGTTGCCGTCAGGGCTCTCTGAGGTCGCAGGATCGTTTTCTTTTAAAAGTGAGAGGGGGATGCAAATGTGCACTACGTCTTTCCACCTTGCAATGTTCGTTTCTGCAACAATTTTTTTTTTTCTCGTTCGTTTATCACCATCGTAGGCACGCCGACATGTGCCGACAGCAACAGCAGCTGTAGCAGCGCCACCGCGCTTACGTCGCGGCGAGTATAAAACCCGCCCCTCGCTGTCGTCTGCTTCGCCATTCGACTTCTGGTCCTTTGGTAGCTCGACAGGTCCGGCAGCAGACTCCCGTTCCCGCCCCCACCAACCATGGCCCCGAACAGGAACCCACCCATCAAGTTCACACAGGTATGCTTCCTCCCCATGTAAGCAAGCGCGTTCACAACAAAACGATAAAAATAATGCACCGGTCCCCAGACATACTTTCTCCCTCGCCGTGCCTTTCAGAGTGCCTGTGTCCACGCGCTCTCTCTCTCTCTTTGGGCGGCTGTTTTTGTTAGCGGCGAGGTCGCTTTTCGTCGCTTTTCAAGCTATTCGCCGGTGTTGGTGTAGATGTTGTAGCTTTTTTTTAACGACCTGGCTGCTGGCTAACAACTTGCGTTTGTCACCTGGCGTAGAAGTATTGCAGAAAACATGTCGTACGAAAGAAGTGGATTCCTGCCACGCAGTAGTTCTACAAACCGTATACATTCCCTTTTTCTGATTATCGTGTTATCTTTGCTCCACTGCGGAGCCGCGAGTGTGTTGAAAGCCGGCTTCGAAGGCATCCAAAGGCGCTCCAACCCGCCTGCACGAAGCCATTTTCGCGTTTTTGTAGACTTTGTGCGCATTCCAGAAGCCTGGAAAGCGCTTTCTTTTTCTTTGATGTAGCTTCAAGCTCGCATGAATTGTCTGCGCTATTACATTCACCAAATGTATTAATAGTGGGGCTGAGCGTTCAGCAGTTCGGGAAAGGTAAGTCGGCGTACCCATTTTTAAAGTTATTGTTAGGCGCCGACAATATACAAAACCGAAGTTTTTTTTTAGTAATATACGTTTCGAAACTAGCCACTTAGCTGACTGCATTTCATTTCGCGAATTGCACCCATTCTGCTGAAAGTCCAACCCGCTATTACTAGTACGACAGTGCACTTTTTGACGGTGCATATTCATGGCCAGTTTTATACTATTAAGCTGCCGTACATAAAAATTTCCAGTCTTGGAAAGGGGTGTAAAATGCTTACAAGTTTTCTATGCTTGAATACGGTCTCTATGGCTCCAGACTCTAACACGAGTGAGTGCGCGTTGCGAAAAGTCGCGTTTCAATCGTGAATCACGCTATAATCACACATCAGTCCATGAGATTGGTCAAATGTTTTTTATCTCGGCAATCAAATTCTGATCTCGTCAAAAAAAAAAAAAGAAATCGGTGTACGTTTACCAAACTAGCCTTCAGTGGAACTTTCTGGCGACATACAAATAATGTTGCAAATGTAAACAAATATTCAACTGAAACCACCTTGGTTCGTAATGGTGCCATTGATACCTCATGAATACCATGTTCACTGTTTTCAATATTTCTCTAAATTTTATAAAAATGATCGAAATTTGAACAAAGCAGAATTTCCTCTATTCATGCTTACGTATGCGTGGTTATATAAGCGCGCGCGAACCAATTATATATATACGCAGATATTTAGCCTCTCATCCAAGTGATATCGTATCGGCGCACATGGAGGTACGTTAGCCCACGCATTCTTCCACTGAAAGCAAACTAACACAACTGTACCTGTTAGTTATATATGGCTGGAGAAATATCCATATATTCGAAAACGCATGCACCTACTATATTTTTCAGTTTCATAACTTCACTTATCGGATGTGCCACCATTTTCTTTGCTATAGCGACGTTCCATGCTGCCGGGCGCGTCTCTACGTTGGAATCCCTTGTATAAGAGATAATCTTGCTAATGTGGCTCCGCTATATAACTTCGATGCATTTTTAGGGCATATCACTCAACAGGGATGCATCTGACCGTGCATATAGCTCGAAGTCACTGAGCTGTTGGCGTCTGTGCCACATTGCGTTCAGAAAAAAAAATGGGTTAAGGATTGGGGATACTGTATAGTACTCTGCGGACTGTGCTACTGCGAGCTCGCGGCACCACTTCGGCTAGAATTAACCACTTTGTCGATGGGGGCCCATTGGAAAGAACGCAGCAGTTTTTTTCCACAAGTTTTCCAGGAAGTGCCTCAAAGTCAACCGCACTGCACCCGCTATGCTGGTATATGTATAGAAGAAAAAAAAATTGTTAATGGCATCTGTTGCACGGTCTCCTCCGCATCCTGTAAAACAAGTGGCTAGGCAGCTGTGGGAGCTGCATGTGTTTTGATAGCAAAGAAAAATTTTGAAATCGTAAATCACTTCCCTAGTTTCATGGTATATCTGGTATAAACGCAAGGCTGGTTGGTCCTCTGCTGCCAAATGACGCTACATTTCAATAAGATATGAACTTAAACATGCGTCCAAATGTTTTTAGGAAATGACGGATTGCAGTGATATTCCAATACGAGGTGTAGCTGCCCCGAACACTCAGTATGAAGTAGAATGAATACAGATAAATATCCGCTAAACATCAATACTCGTGTTTCTTCATATATGCCAAAACGCGGTAGGGCTATGCTAAATTACGGCATGACCAGGTCAACTATTCCATTATTCAATAGCTATTGGCGAGAGTAGTGAAGGTAGCACTGCAATAAAATCATGTTGAACGTATGCACGCTCCTATATTTGAACTGTCTTTTAAATATTTTGAGTGTATACGTCACTTTGGTCGTTTGCTTTTGCCTGGCATAGAAAGCTGTATTAGCACAAAATGGGGAGTGAGGCTTCTAAGGTTATTGAAGTTATAATAATATTAAGGGTAACATCGGACACATCTTCAAAAAGCTATATCTATAATGTAGATGAAAATTATGTTTTACCTAATATAAAACACGTCAATGATTCAGTTACAAAAACATCATTTACTGCAAGGGCGTATTAGAAACCCAGGAATGTTACGAAATTATCGCCATAAATGCGGCTGTGTAAAAAGAAATGTCTCAAACGAAAAGCCTTTCCTTACTGTTTTGAGTATATGCGGTGTTGACGGTCTGTTTTCTTGGAAATATTGAGATGGTAGCCATGCGTACAATTCGCAAACGCTTCATGGTGCGCATAAAAAACAATTAGTACACTCCGCCACACGAATCACTTCAATGTAGGAAAGCACTTAAAATTATATAAGAATGCTCAAAACAAGGCGATATCGCTTGGAACAATACTCTGGGCTGTTGTCTCGAAGATACAGAGGTTAGAAGTGGTTGCTGTAAGTATACCTTACGGTCATGATTTCTAGAAGACACCCGTACGAGATTACCTCACGATGACAGTGACAACGAACACAAGCCAAAGAGAAATTATTATAGGAAGAGCAACATGCATGCACTGTTTGTCCTTACTCTAATCGTTCAATGATTTGGACTTGCCTCACTCGTGGTAAATAGCGACAAGGTAACTCTCACAGCAGAAGTACTGTCTTTATTTGCATTGTTTTGATTGACCCTGCGCTTAAATACTACGTCTGATTAAAACACCACTTGTGTTTTGCATCTTTTTACAGAGGAAGTAAAGCCAATCTGTTTATCAAAGAAGTGCAACACGCGAATGGTGGCCCACTATTGAACATTTACTACGCGTTTAAGGACAAACATCTGTATTTTCACAAGCACATGCATTCTTCTTCATAACGTAAACTCATTGGCTCATAGGTACATCAACACTTGAAGCACGAAAAAAAAGCGCATTGTCCAAGCAGAAATCGATAGTTCTACTATTCGTCCTACTTTACATTGCATGGTTCAAGCAGCCTTGCCGACAGACCCAGTCTGCGGCTGCGACTCGCGCTGTTGGCGATAAGGGCGTAGATGTCGCAGGCGCCAGTGTAAAGACTGTGGCGTTCCAGGATATTTACCTACAAGGCCAACGAGCTCCGATGGGAAACTCGTGCCTCTGTGAAGAACTTGCGTAGGATCTTTATTTGATGCCTTATCTTTCTTGATTCTATAAACAATTATGGTATTTCATGGGCTAACGCCACGACACTAAAATGAGGTACGTCTCTGTCAGAGGCTTCATCTGAGCATGTGTATTTACTCTAATTCCTTTCTGATTAATTTGTCTTGCAACCTCCTTCCTTGCTAATTCTAATAGGAATACTTGTTCTGCGTTGAAAAATCAATAATTGTTTTCGTCAAGCGATTACTAAGTTGATATTATTTATTTCCATATACTGTTGGCCGTCTCACTGTATCATGGTGGGTAAAGTGAACGTTCACGTAAAACAGAATCAAGTACAAGAATACTATAGCAGCGGTACTTGGTTTAAATTTACTTAAAGGGTAAACTTACCCTTCCATCACAGAGATTTTTTTCTGTTCGTTTTGTAGAGTTACAGCTAATTGACATCTATCAGAAGCTCCGACAATTCCCTATAGTAAATATGAGTCTGTAGCGCGTAAGTTAAACAAACAACGCACAAGCACTCATTTCGCAAAACAAGCTTTGCCAAATAAAAAAATGCTTTTTTATCTTTATTTGTTTATGAAGTTTGTTTCTTTTGTTGTGGCTTTATAGCTTCTGTATACGCGTACTGCCCATTATTACGGCCATCCTTCGTACTAGCTTGACCTTCAGAACCTTTAGCTCGAACTGTTGCGTACACGCATAATATGCGCTCCTGGAATCACCTCATTTTTATTCACAGTGTAACCTCTATCAGTACCTAACGAAATTCTCGCTACATGATCCGCCCAACCCCTGGCCGATCCCCTCGGTGGGTAGAGAGAGAGAGAGAGAGAGAGAGAGAGAGAGGAATACCTTTATTGGGTTGAAAAAAAGAAGGGGTTTAGGAGCTATATGGGTGGGGCCCCATTTTCAAGGCTCCACTGACTTGCGCCGTCTGCCGGACGTGGTATAGGAGTGCTAGTTGCACCTCCGGGTCCGAGCTAGCGAGGCGTGCCTCCCATTGCTCCAAAGAGTTTTCCATTCTATACATACGCTGTAAGCGATCGAGTTCATTTGTCCGTTTAGCACAGCTCCACGAGATATGGTAAAGGGTCGGTGGCGAGTCGCGGCACCACGGACAATCGCGCCCGTGCGAAGTTGGATGAATATTGTGTAGTCGTAGATGCCAATCAATTCAGGTCATCAAATCAGTTCCTCTTTAGGTTATATCTCGTATCTGCGTTTAATTGTTGGTCAACGGGCACCGTGTAACGTGTGCGTTAATTCCTACTGTTCTTACTCCCTGTAGATCTTCATTAACAACGAGTTCGTGAACTCTGTGAGCGGCAAGACCTTCCCAACGTACAACCCGGCGACCGGCAAGAAGATCGCCGATGTCCAGGAGGGTGACAAGGTAAGTCGTGCACAAGAATTGCCTATGACTGATCGCCATGTTGAAAAATAGCCTTATATGTCGGGAGCTCTAACGCCCTATAGCAAGGTTCTTATAGCAGGGTTTAGGGAGAGAGAGAGGAAATAAGTAATGAGAAGGCCAAGAGGTCTGCCTGAGCCAGTGCCTGCTATTCTGCTCGGAGGAAAATGCATGCGCGAAAAAAAAAAAAAAGACGCGACTGGGAGAAGAAAAAAGTAATTCATACTGCCAATAACCATATAACATAGCGGTTTCGCTAGTCTCGCCTTCAGTTCTGTGTTCGTAAGAAAATGTACACTTGCCCCGATAGAAGTTGTTGAGTTCGCGTGATCACGCATTGCTGGCAAAATACCACTTTCACTTAGCGTTACCGCGCTGATTTCTGCAAGCGTTTTTTGTGTTGGGACACGCAGAGCGAGTAGAGAGCCACGCATAAAACGTTACTAAGCTTCTGTGGACACCGCCAGTGGGCCATTGCAAGGTTTCATGCAAGATCTAATAGCATCATGTAATTATACAGGCAAGAACGAGTAGCAGTCGCCGATCCCCCTCTGAGGGCGAGTGCGAACAATGCAAGAGGTTTATCATCATCGCCTGCTTAATGTTTCCCTGCGTGTGCTCTGTGGGGACGTCTAGATTTTGAAATCATTCCTATTACGTGATCAGTTTATTTCTTTTTTGTGTTTACTACGTTCTCAGTTCGCGCATCAGGAAGCCGCGCATTCGGTCGGTTGCGGCAATGTTTCAATGCTGCCAAAGGAGGACGAGTGCTGGCAGGCTCTCAAGAACACTAGAAAGTCGCAGGAGGCAGTAGTTTGAGCCTTGTAGTAACTATTTTATAACGTAAAATCCTATTGTCTCCATGATCGGGTATTTAAATGCCCCGATTACACTTTTTTTTTTCACGCTGTGCAATTAAGTACGCAATATTCACCATTGTAAAGATGCATTTCTAGCAACTCTCCCCTCTTTTTTATGCGTTTTTTTTTTGTTTTTGTTGAACACGCCAGTGCTGTTTTCAAGTTCTATACTGCGTGCATGCGCCTTCCTTCAATTTTCGTTGTTCGACTTTGACGAACATGCAGCTTTGGTACGGGAACCAACTGGTAGCTTTCTGAAGCAAAACACGCCTTTAAGTGCTTGCTTTCCATAATGGCCCCGCGTATCTGTGGGCGTGTTATGAACAGATAATAGGCTTTTACTAAAGAAAATGGTAAAAATAAAATACGTGACCGACAAGCAAATCCCCATATTTTGCGCACAGTTATGTTCAGCTCACTGAAGCCTTGAACTACTGCTTTTATGCAGGCATCCTTCAGAACTCCAAGGCTTACAACACATTTCTTTTTTTCTGCTCTTTTGTTGTCATTCACCGCCTTATCTATGACTGCCTCGCTGCTTCAACGTCTCGTTCTCATATTTCCGTAAACGCGACTCAAAGAATGGCGTTGAGTGCCGGTGCTTCAATGTTCATTTCACAAAGCTGTACGCGAATTCATTGTCGTCGTGACTTCTCATATTTCCTGCACTCTCCGATGTTGGCGCATAAAAATTGCGTGATAAGTTCGATGCAACCAGCCGCTTTCGCATAAGACACGGTTTGCCTGCTTCCGTTGTTTTTTCCGCGGCCTGTGGTTATTTGCGCACTGTTAGCACATGTTTTGCTTCCAAGTACACGTGCACATTGAAATATTTGCTTAGTAAAAACACGCTATATATCTCGCATCCTTTAGGTAACGTGGTATATTTTCAAATACTCGGCATCGCGACCATGCGGTCGTCACAAATTGTCGTTTAGAGAAGTGAGAATGACGCTTCAAAAAGTCGTTGTAGACGGAACGAGGTGTCCAATCAGTCATCGTGCGATTCCGCATGTGTGCAGCCTTGCATCGTTTTCAATTGAGCTTTACTACGAATGCAGAAAAGATGCGTCTGTTTAGGAAAGGGGAGGGGGGTTGTGGGGGAATGTAGTATGGCGTAGTTCAAGAAAGAATTACAGAGTTGGGAGCAACGGAAGCTGCACTCGATTGACATTAGTCGCGCGCATCGGGATAATGTACCAGGCATGACGCACAACGCCGTTCGGCTAAATGTTATTTCATGTCGACGCATATGATGTAGCAGAATTATTGTTCAGGCCTTCCAGCCACACTCAAATGCACTGGCTTCATTTGGCGGAACTTCAGCCTTCGTAACGCGACGGATAGACGAGGTTTGCGAAGAGTTTGCGCAGCTGCGGCGCCACGCAGGCGTTGTATATACAATGCAACATGTGACCGCACAGCGCATTCAGATCTGTCGACGCTGATTGCCTGTCTGGCGTGTCTGGAAAGTTTTTTTTTGTCGGTTATATGTGGTGTATTTTCGTTGTGTAACGCAATGCAGATATTGAAATTGCCTGCGACATGTAACGTAAATGCAGGTCCTCGGGTCGTTTATTTTACGCGGCGGAAATAACTTGCTTGATAACTCGATGTGCACAATGGAGCTGGTTTCGATTCTCCCATTGGGTTTTCATTACCTACCTTACTATACAGATGGCTCGCAATGAAGTCAACGAAACAGCCACGTTGGAGCACCAACATGGTGGTACTCGGTCTTTGTAGTGCCGCGTTAGTCCATATAGTTACAGCGCGAGAACAGAACGACGATAAAGAGACAAGGACACGTACCAACTAGCCTAAACTGCCACGCTGCCCAGTCACGTTAGTGTTATCCGTGCATTGCACACACTCTGACAAAAAGTTGTTTCACTTTTTTGGGGGGGTGGGGGGGGGGAGTTCTGGTTTTCCACGTAAAGTTGTCTGCAAGCTTAACGCGAACGCTCCGACGTGTGGTCTGGACGTCTTTGATGCCAGTTGCGAAGCTGTTGCCGAGGTACTACCTTGGTATGCTTGGAAAGCTACGTCGCGCTGTCGCCAAACAATTTCAAGACGCGTTTGTCCTTGGCTTGCTGACAATTGTGCATGACTATCATTAAAGAGGTACTTGAACTCTGTGGGGGTCATCGCACTCTTCGGCGAGCCGTGTGACCCACAAGAGTGTTAAGGTGCATCTTGCATGGCAAGCCCTGGCTACCCAAAGCCGTCGCATTTCTTTCTTTAGAGTGCTTGCTGGTTCTTATTATACGCACGAAAGAATGTTCAGTAACGTTGCAGTGACGTCCTTATGCTTTGCTTATCTGGCTAGTTGGAACAAGTCAGTCATAGTGATATTTAGCGCAAACGCAACACAAGACAAACAAGAGGATGCAGGCGCAGTGCAAACTAAAATTTATTCGAAAGGAGAACACCCATATTTACTCACCAAATGAACAACACTGAAGCAAACTAACCGAGACGTACATGACGTCACGCGGAAGCTGTCAATACAAACTGCACTTTACTTGTAGCTGGTGAGTTCGCGAGTTTGCGATTTGATTTGCAGTGCAACTAGAGAGTGGCATGCGCTTTATATCTCAGCACAATAAGACTGCCTTCAAAACTATTGCCCCGGTTACTGTTTAGCCAAAATGCTGCATTGTGCATTCATACAAGGTTGAAGTTGGGGAAAGTTGGATGTCACGAAACGGGCTATAGCGAAACGGGAAAAGTCGCTGAATAAACCGCCAGGCCAACTGCTTTTGACAATAAAAATGGCGCTGTTTGAACGGACACATACACACAGCACAGGCGCTAACTTCAAACAGTGTTTTATTGCCTCTCTTTTACCCTTCTGTCCCTATTCATTCAGTGCTATTTTTCTTGTCATCACTATGTACCAACAAGCCCAAATTTTAACAGTGCATGCAACAACTCTTGTTAAAACGTTGGCTCTGACGAAATTCCTGGTTTAATTTCTCACATGTTGTGCATTGTAGCATGAAAGCGACTAGAACAAGCATACACTTGTATCGTAGCACGTTGCACAAATTAACGTTGGAAAATTTGTTTTCCAAGTGTACCCGCCAAGTGAACTCCAAACGCTACTTTTTGTACGCAGCAATAGTGCCGACGTGAAATAGAGTATTGTTTTTCTTAAATAAATCGTTATCTAGTTGGATTGCAGCCGCAAGCAACGTCCGCCACTTGTAAACAAGCTCAAAGATTACAATTGCGCGATTTGGTACAAGCGTAACTTTCGAAAACTTTTGTATGCTCAAGAATGAAGAAGATTCGTTACACTAGCATTCTCTACAACGTGTAAATGAAGGTGCTCCAGAAGTCCACTGCACTCACCGTGCTACTGTCCATTACATTTTTCTACAACGCTGCACGTCAGTTTGCAGCCTTGCATGCCGCGTCAAAGCTGCGTTTGCTTGCAAGTCGAAATTGAGAACAATAGACTTCTAGCGAGGCTGTCTTTATTTTGTAGACATATTTTAGCCCCGACATATTTAGATAACCCACGTGTTCAGTTCCTACCTGTAACTTAAGTTCGAAAGAATTTCTCTTAAGTTTCCGCATCATAATAGTCAAATAGGCAAAGGTGGTGTGCAAAAGCAGTTTCAATATTCGCGTGGTATTCGTGTTGCCGGCACATTAACTTTTCGAAGGTTATGCAGCGCAAGTTGGCTAGCCTGTTCACAAGAGCTTATAGGCTGCCATTCACGAAAAAGAAAAAAGCTTCTCGCAGCTCGCACTGAGTTGCGCTAAGCTGGGGCAGAGCACTGCTGGTCGGCACTCGGTTGCGTCCGGACTCGGCAATGCACACATGCATTCGCATGCCGATACACTGAAGTGTTCATATTCGTAAATCATGAGCTTGAGCTAGGTATCAATTCGGATTCCTTTAGGAATCGCTTGAAAATAGCAGCTTCAAGAAGCTTAATGAGATCAAATAGATTACTTCCCGTATTATAGGTTCAGCCTCGACTAAAGTGGATCCCGAGTCAACCCAGGTTTAAATAACATAAGTATCACTAATTCACTTTAGTCCTATTTAGTTTAATTTAGGCTTACCTCGACCCATCGTCTTGCGCTATAGGCACACCAAAACCTCAACTCGGCTTAATCAAGACTTATAAACAAGTACCCAATTAG